AAATTATACATTTTCAACATCCATAAGATTACTCTCTCTGTGACAGGGTCATGCTATGCTGCCAAGGTCAGACTTAACTTCTGGGACACTCCACCTCAGCTTTCCCAGGAGCTAGGGCTCCAGGCATACACCACATCCAGCTTGAGACTCTATGCCTTTCATCATGTTGGTAATTTGTGTTTTCTATTTCTTGATCCATCAAGCTGAAACTTATCAGTTTTTTTCAATCTTTTCAAACAATCAAATTTCTGCTTCTGAATTTTTCATAATAATTTGTCTATTTCTTTTTTTCTCTTGCAGTGCTGGGGACTGAACCTAGGCAAGTGCTGAACCACTGAGCTGCACCCCCACCCAGCCTTGTTTGTCTGCTTCTATTTTGTGGATTTCTACTCCTATCTTTATTATTTCCTTCCTTCCTCTTACTGTGGGTTTCATTTCCTCATCTTTTTCTTGTTTTTCTAAATAGGTGGAAATGGCCATAAGAGGCAATGGGCACAGGAGTTGTTTCTCACGGTTACTAATAACCTGGGCTCTGATTCAGTGTCCCAGTTTATCTCTCCAATCTCTATAAGCAGTTCTCTGTATTAAATATCTGGTATGGGTTTGGATTTTGTAACTGCATCCCCCTATTTTTTTTGGTATTGGGATTGATCCCAAGGGCATTCTGCCACTGAGCTACCTCCACCCTTTTTATTTTATTATTATTTTCAGGTACCTGGGATTGAACCCAAGGACACTCAACCCCTGAGCCACATCCCCAGCCCTTTTTATATTTTATTTAGATACAGAGTCTCCCTAAATTGCTGAGGGCCTTGCTAAATTGGGCTTTGAAGCTGGCTTTGAACTTGCAATCCTCCTGCCTCAGCCTCCCAAGTAACAGGTGTGTGCCACTACACCCAATTGGGTGTAGCTTATTATACAGGAAATAAGCTGCTTCTCCCACAAACATGGGAGAAGTATGGTTCTCTGACTCATTGATGCTGTTTGGCCATGTAACGTGCTTTGGCCAATAGAATATGGGTGAAGGTTTCAGGGTGTAGTTTCTGGTGCAGGCCTTAAGTGGGGTTGGATATTTCTACTTGCTTCTCGGTGAGCTTTGGACTTTTGCCTGTAGAAGGATATGACCTAAGCCAGTTCTCTAGCTTACCTCAAAGTCAAATGGAACAGACCTGAACTCAACATCTCCCCTGGGGGCAGAACTGCCCTTCCAGACCTATATATATATTTTAAGCAAGAAATAGATGTTCACTGCTCTCTGCCACTGTAACTTTGTCGGTGGTTGCCCAGTACTGGGGAGGAAAAAAAAAGTTTTCCTTTAAAATTTTGGAACTGCTGCTGGGTACAGTGGGGTATACTTGCAATCCTAGGGACTTAGGAGGCTGAGGCAGAAGGACTGCAATTTCTAGGCTAGCCTCAGCAACTTAGGGAGATCCTGCCTCAAAACAAACAAACAACAAGTAAACAAAAAACTATCCGGAACAGCTGATTAGCCAATTCATTTCATGACAGTTTCACCACATAAACCAATTGGCAAGATTAGTCCTCATTATTATCCCAAATAAGATTTAATTTCTTCTATTTAGAAGATACTGGCCTTTTACATGGTTTCAAGGAGCCCTTCATGTAATGTATTTAGTATTGTTTGTTTTTTCTTTTTTTTTTTAATTTTTGTTTTTAGTTGTAGATGGAAACAATACCTTTATTTTATCTATTTTTATGTGGTGCGGAGGATCGAACCCAGTACTTTACACATGCCAGATGAGTGTGCTACCAATGAGCCACAACTCCAGCCCCTTGTTTGGTTTTTTCATTTCCTTAAAGTTCTCTCACTGTAAAACCTTATTTGTATTCCTCAGAAAACACGTTGGGAAATAGTGACAAAACAAAGCACATGATAGTGATTATTTAAAAATAAAATTATCAGAATTTCATTTTGAAAAGAGGTATTCCTTGCACTAGGAACTGCTACTCAATCTACAGAGTTATGCATTTCTTAAATTTCTGAGTTTAACCACAAAGGCTATCTAAGATTTATCATAATGTTGTTAATTATACCTATTATATCTTTCTCCTGGGGGCACCAGCTTTGTGATATGCTTAGAAGAGTTCAGGGGATTTGAAACATTATTAGTTTCAACCCACTCCTGGTTACACACACACACACACACACACACACACACACACATACTTCTAGCTTTAATCTTATGCAGGTTAGTTTTCTTAGCCAGGTGCATGCTTCTGTAAACCCAGCCACTATACTAAACAGGAGAATCACAAGTTCAAGGCCAGCTTCAGCAACTTAGGGAGACGCTGTTTCAAAACAAAAAAAATTAAAAGGGCTGGGATATAGCTCAGTGGTATGTGTGTCCTATACCACCAAAAAAAAAAAAAAAAAAAAGCAAACACAGTTTTCCACAGTAGGCTTATTTGTTTTGTGACTCCTTTTATGCATACTGAGTTAAAGGTCAGGGCCAGGGCTGAGGCTCTGTGGTAGAGCACCCAGTGCAAGGGAGCAGCGGGTGGGAGGGAGTTCCTGTGCAATTTTGGAGCTGCTTGATGAGCCAATTCATTTTGGCCATGTATTACACCATATAAACTAATTGGCAAAATTAGTCCTCATTGTCATCCCAATCAACCAAATAAGACTTAATTTCTATTTGGAAGAGGCTGGTTTTTAAACTTATTTTTATTATTTATTTATTTTTTTGCCAAGCTGGTGATGGAACATGGGTCCTTGTGCATGCTAGGTAAGAGCTCTATCCCTGAACTATGCCCCAGCCCTGACTTTAAAAAAAAAAATGATACTATGTATTCTTAGGGCATATTTATTTTTGATTCGTAACTCAAAAGATAAGCAAATAGAGCTTAGAGCCTTCACTTGATGCTTAAATGAAATAATGAAATAAAGGGCCTCCATTTTTCTTCTTTCTTCCTTTTTCTCTCCCCAGTACTGGGGCTGAAATCCAAAACTTCTCACATGCTAGGCAAGCTCTCTATGACTAAGCTACATCCTCAGCCCTGTATATTTTTGTTTCTATTTTGAGTTGCCAAGGCTGGCCTTAAACTTGGGATCCTCCTGCCTCAGTCTCCTAGCAGCTGGGATTACAGGTGTGCTCCATGCTCCCAGTTGGGGGCCTCTCTTTGCTTTGCCCAAAGATACTGATGGGGTGAAGAAAATTCTATCTCAAAATACAGAACCTTGAGGCTGAGGTTGTGGCTCAGCAGTAGAGCACCCGCCTAGCATGCATGAGGCACTGGGTTCATCCTCAGCACCACATAAAAATAAATAAATAAAATAAAGGTATTGCGGGCTGGGGATGTGGCTCAAGTGGTAGAGTGCTCGCCTAGCATGCATGAGGAACTGGGTTCGATTCTCAGCACCACATAAAAATAAAATAATGATATTGTGTCCACCTAAAACTAAAAAATAAATATTTAAAAAAAATAAAGGTATTGTGTCCAACTACCAAAAAAAACACAAAAAACTTATAGGCATGCTGCATAATTTAAGCTGCAAGAAAACACGAAGTAGAAAGGTCTCTCTGATCTTCCCTCCCCACTTCCTACCCTGAGGCAGGCCATGAAACTAGAATTCCTTTCCTTTCTCCTTCTCCCCAGAGGCAGGCAATAAAACCACAGAGAGTCACTCTCTAACCTTCTCTCTCTGCCCTGAAGACCCTCCTGTGACAGGTGTCCTGCCTTTTGCCCCACCCAGGGAAAGAATGTCACATGGAGATGCCAAAAGGAAACAGAACAAACAGGCCTGGCAAGGAACATTCCCTCCCTGGTTTATTGCCATCAGATCAGACCCTTTTCTCTCCAACCTAACTTCTGCACAACTCTCCATGAAAACACACAGGTCTCTTTCCAAAGGCTCCTGTGTCATGTGAAGCTGCCATTAAATCAGTCTGTCTTTTGTTAGAGGGTTCTCAGCCATGCACCTTGCCACAGGTAAGGAAAAGATATTACTTCTCCTTCCCTATAGGACTTTCCCACAGGGAAGATGATAGGCTGAGATTGAAGAGATGTGAGCACTCAGTGAAAGTCAGTCCCCTGTCTTGCTTTGTGAGACCCTGGAAAGGAGAACATCCCAATTTTTAAGCTATTTTTAAGTAAGTTTTTAGTTGTTGACAGACCTTTATTTTATTTATTAATATGTGGTGCTGAGAATCCAACCCAGTGCCTCACACATGCCAGGCAAGTGCTCTACCACTGAGCCCCAGCCCCAGCCCAACTCAAGCTATTTTTTGCTCCTCATCCTTGGTCATCCTTAAAGGAATTACGTTCAGGATTCACACAGACAGGAAACCCCAATTGTGAGCTCCTAGAGCAGGTCCTCTCTGCTGTCCCCTGTATACTCCTGCAGTATGAAGAATGGATTTCTTCTATAAAATGAAAACAAGAACAATTTGGAAGGGGAGATGGAAAAAAGAGAAATGGCCTGACATCTCCAGTCATGGCTGCATCTCCTAAAATTTCAATTTTAGGAAAGAATTGGGCTGGGGCTGGGGCTTAGTGGTAGAGCACTTGCCTGGCACGCATGAAGCCCTGGGCTCCATCCCCAGCACTGCAGAAAAGAAAAAGGAAATTTTGGGAAAGAGTACACATCAAATCCAGAAACAAATTCCCTTAAAACTATCTGTATCTAGCTGCCCCCCTAGAAAATTGTCTCATGTCCGCAGATGTATACTGTTAAACATACAATGATCTTAACATTGCTCAAGACAAGGAGCTATCTTCCTCATTCTGATGAACCAAATATTAAAATTTAACTTTTTAAAATTTTTTTTTGAGAGAGAGAGAGAGAGAGCGAGAGAGAGAGAGATTGATTTTAATATTTATTTCTTTTTTAGTTCTCGGCAGACACAATATCTTTGTTTGTATGTGGTGCTGAGGATCGAACCCGGGCCGCACGCATGCCAGGCGAGCGCGCTACCACTTGAGCCACATCCCCAGCCCCCACTTTTTTTTTTTTTTAAAGAAAGAGAAGCATCCCTCGGTTTTATTTTTTAGATAATTTATTGTTGAATGGAGAAATCACAAAGCAAAATGGAACGGGACAGAGGTGACATAAATCTAAAACACAGTTTTGTTCAACACTGTTCTGGATTTCCTAAGGTTAGAAATAGGAAAAATGTCAAGTGGGAAGATACTTGTTCAAGTTCAGTCTTTCTAAAAGTCTGTACTTTGAAAGCAAAACTAGTTTCCTCTGAAAATACAAATCATCCTATTACATGAAAGCCCTAATTTAGGAGACTGAGCGAAAAGCTTTTTTAATTAACAAACGGTATCTCTCAGGCACACTTAGGAATGTTTGCTTTTAATCACTGAGTTTAAAAATCACCACTTCCGCCCTGAAAACTAACATGACTCCACCACGGGCTGGTGGCATTTCATCTGCACAGGAGAGTTCCAGGGTGTCTCCTTATGCTTCCGTTTCTGCAACAGTCAGCAAAGCAGGTTTGGAAGGGGGAGAAAAGGGTTTAGAAAGAACCCCAGCTGGTTCCCTAGTGAATAACTTAACAAAATAAACCCCGCCTGCCCACGCGCCTTACACGTCCACCATCGCTCACTTCGACTTACTTGACTGGTAAGGTTCAGGTTCTTTCCACACCTAGAGTGACTTGCCTGAACTCCACACGATCCCCTAAGATGAAAAAAAAAATCTCAGGAGGGCACCCCTCAAAAAACCTCAGAGGCCACATTCTTCTACATTCTGTCCCCTGTCGCCCTGCCCACAGCGTTCCTCAGAGCTCATCCAAGTGTCTCCCAAAGCTCTGGGAATTTTCCTAGCATAATTCAAAAATCACACTTACTATTTATCAACACTAAGAAATCAAATAGAAAATCCATTTTTACCAATAAATTGGTGGAATTTGCTCTTCCAAGGCAGGTGGTAATTTGTTGCTCTGTACACAGTGGAAGAGACCATGGGGTCCCAGAGTGACACTCCTCACTGGATCCCAGCTGGGGTGCTCCCTGGCAAACTTGGGACCATGAAGCTGACTGAAGTTCCATCTGGGGTTGTGTCCCATTTGTTAGGAGCATAAGAGACCAGACATTGTCTCTGCAGAGGACGCCAGATGCAATGGCTCCAAGAGGGCTCCTGTCCTTTAAATGAGAGCAATTATCATGGCACCTGCTTTCATCATAACAAAACTCCCTGCTGGGGCTCCAGGGTTCCCAGAGAGTTCTCAATTTTTGCTTTTAGGACACAAGGATGCCATTTATAAAAACCTGGAGATACAGTAGGAGGCAGAAACCACAGAGCGCTGTAACCCTGGGGCACTTGACATAATTTGGATGTATTCAAAGGAAATATGTATGGTTTGTTTTTTCCAATATTAGGGGAAGAAAGTCCATCTGCCACTTTCTACAATCCAGCCCTGCAGAGACTGGCAGGAGATTCTAAGAATCTGGGGCTGGGGCTGGAGCTGGGAGTGGTGGGGTGGTGGTGAGAGCCCAGTGAGGAAGGGCAGCCTGGTGCCACCTCTGCCCCACCCAGCACCATCCCTGCTGCAGCGGCTCCGCTGAGCTCTTGAGGTTGCCTTTGGAACATCTTCAGTTCACACTTAACCCCACGGTAGTCACTTCCCTTTATACAGTGGCAGGAAAGAAATGTCCACTTTGGCTACAGTAGCCGGGCAGTAAAGTCAGAGTTGTGACATGATTCCTTACACTAAATCCACCAAAGCATAACCTCAGAGGATGTTAAGCAAGATTCCTTGTTTTTTTTTTTTCATTAGACCCACTTTCTCTGCGACTTTGACACCACCAAAGTCCTCAGCTTGAGTCCATTGAGATAGTCATGATGAACTGGATCACCAGAAACATCTACATCTGTCTCTTCCTGGTGGCAGTGGGTCTTAGGCATGTCAGTCCTGAGTGGAAACCTCCCTCCTGGAGTCCCCAAAATGTTTTCCAAAGCATTCTTTTAAAATGCCATCTCTCTCAGAAGAGCCCTCTGCTATATTTTCCTTTATGAAAAAACGGGAAAGTCGTTTTGAAACCCCACAGTACCTATCCGGAGAGTTACACAAGATGTGAACCAGATGCCAAGTGTGCAAGGATGTCGCCAGAGCCTGTGCCCGCAACCCACCTGCAGGGAACCGACGGAAACCACTGCCCCCAAACTGGGCCATCTTTCCACCTGACCTTCTGAAACAGGAGAGAAGGCAGAGAAGTGGGTTTTATTTTTAAGGCATCTCTTATTTTGGTTTGGGGTTTTTCCATATCATTAAAAAAAAAGATGGAGAGAATTCCAAAAGTTTGGGTTAACAGGAAATAAAAATGGAAGTGGAAATAAAGAATGGAATGAAACTCAGCTCTCCCCAGATTGAACACATATGGGCACCACGACCTACTGAAACAGCTACACTTTAGTAGCAGGGAAGACACCTATGGCTGGAAGGTCTTAAAGCTCACTTTTTCCATCCCAGGGACTTTTCCAAGCTCTTTTTTCAGACACACTGACAGTGGAGGAAGAGCAGTCCTCCAACCTCCCTGGTTCAAACTCTTGCCATTTTCTTTTGCTCTCGTTTTTTTTTTTTTTTTTTCCTCATCAAATCGAGACTTTCGGAAAACTCTGGAAATATACTCCTTTTAAAGCAGCAAACCAGGAAATATATTCCTTTTAAAGATAATTTGAAAATTAAAAAAAAACAAAACCAAGTATCTCAATAATTGCAAGATGCAGTGATTTTTTTTTCCCCCAGGCTGGGCTTAGAGGTATCCCCAGGTCCGACTCTGGGGCTGGAATGATATGCAAGGGCAACATCGCCCAACTTGCCCAGGGTGGTCTGGGGACCAAGGCAGCGGAGAAGCTGGCTCAACCCCAAGCCATCCTTCTGAGTCAGCATTCATCCGAGAGGCAATCGCTGCCCAGGAACTCTGTGGCCTCCAGCTCCACGCTGGACAGGAATCTCCTCAGCTTCTTGTGGCAGTTGTAATCCAGGGTGGTGGTGTAGACGGTCTTGGGGTACTTCGGGTAGACAATGGTGGTGCTGAGGAAGCGTGTGGGCTTGTGGCGGGGCTCAAAGCGCACCTCAGCCTTGTAGTTGCGCCATGTGCAATTGGGGATGCAGGTGACTGTCTGGCTGCAGGAGGCCACTGCCAGGCCCAGTGGCAGCTGCACATCATCAATGAAGTGTCGCTCTGAGTCATACTTGACTGAGGAAGTGTACCTGGGGAGGGGGGACAAATCAGGCAGCATGAGGTTGTTCCTCTGAGCCAGGGGGACAGGGTCCCAATTGTGACTCTGAATCTCTTGTGGGATACCAGTCTGAGACCTGCCAACGTCAATAAGAAGCAGCACAGTTTATGAAGTACTTATTCTGTGCCAGGTACTAGCATTCCAAGCACTTGAATTCATAGGATCTAATTTAATCTCTACAACCCTGGGATCGGAAAGTGAGCTCCAGAGATGAAGGTCACGGTGCCACTGAGTGGAGGAGCTGGGATTGATGGATTGATTGACTGGATTATGGGGACTGGAAGGTAGATAGATGTGCAAGGTTCCAAAGTATTCCCTGTGCTCAATGTTTCCCATTGCAGGCCAGAGCCCCTGGATTCTGTTCCCATTAACTTAGGCCTGGAACCCTCAGTCAGGATACTTAACCTGTCCAAACCTTGGTTTCCTCTTTTCGTAAAGGGTCCTCAATAAAGGGGCAGGGTGTCAACACTGAGCAAGTGCTGTCAGTGTAATCACAGTCATGTACCATTTAACGACATTTCGGTCAACAATGGCCCCACATATGACAGTGGACCCCCTGAGATTGCATGGCCTGAGACAACATAGCCTTCTTAGTTTGTGGGAATACATTCTATGATGTTCACACAAAGACAAAATTGCCTGACGGAGGACTGAGTTGTAGCTCAGAGGCAGAGCGCTTGCCTAGCATGTGTGAGGCACCGTGTTCAATCCCTAGCACCACATAAAAATAAATAAAAATAAAGGTATTGTGTCCATCTACAACTTAAAAAATATTTTAAAAAATTACCTAATGGGACCTTTCTCTGAATGAATTTCTGTCGATTAATGGTACGTGACTATCTTATAGAACAAAGTAGATTCTACTCTTCTATTTATAAGCAGCTTCTGTCCCCTCCAGGGATCTGGTTCTTTAATGAGAAAAGGAAAAAACCCAGAACTCCTGAATGCTGATTCTGGAAGCTTGGCTTTACCAGACCTAGTATGTGGTCTACCTTAGCCTTTGGTTTAGAAACCTGAGGACCTAAGGACCTGACCTTATCAGTAAAAACCAACTGCAATCTCAATTTCCATAAATAAGTTACCATTTACATTCCTCAGGTACTTTATTATTTTTTAAGTCCTTTGGTAATTTAAAAGTTAACACAGATGCATCAAACAGCTTTTATGCCCATGGGGTGACTGAGAACCAGAATTCTTTTCTGTGAGTTGGATGTAAAGGTCTGTTCTTTGGGCAAGTAGCTAAGATGCTGGTGGAAGCTAGTATCATGAAGCCACGTCCTTGTTTTGTTGGAAATACAAGCTCCACAGGAATAAAAGGCTAAACTGCTCACCTCAAAACTGATGAACCCCTCTTTGTTCCACATCAAAGGGCCCTTTGTGTAATGCAACTGAAACTCCAACTATAAAACCACTAGTCACCAAAAGTAAGATTCCTTTCTCTAAAAAATGATATATCTTTAAAGGAGTCTCCCCATGAATCTTTGCCCCCAGATAATCCTGGATGAGATCATTCTGGAGGAAGGCTGGCATTTGTCCGGTGACATTGTAACATGAGACAAGGTTACAGCACCTTGAAGAGGGGTCAGAGCATGGGGTGCAGGTGGAGAGGCAGCTTCAGGAAAGTTGAATTAATGCTCAGCAAAATTTTTAACATCCAATAGCCTTGAGATATAAAGCAAGCTGCAGAACTTTATGTATCATATGATCTAATTTTTATTGTAAAAAGAATATCTATTTAATTGATTAGAACGTTAAAAAAAATTCCTAAAGAGTACCCACCAATGGGGCTGGAGTTGTGGCTCAGTGGTAGAGCGCTTGCCTAGCGTGTATGAGGCTCTGGGTTCGATCCTCAGCACCACATATTAAGTAAATAAAATTAAAAAGATCCAATGACAATTAAAAAATATTTTAAAAAAGAGTACCCATCAAACTATCAATAGTATTTGTCATATTTGCATAATTAATAAATTTTTAAATAACAGGAAATTATGTCTGAATAAAAAATGAAAATTTAAGAAATAAAATCAAAGGATCAAGCAGACACAGAGGCACAGGCCTGTAATCCCAGTGACTCAGGAGATTGAGGCAGGAGGACTGCACGTTTAAGGCCAGACTCAGCAAGTTGGCAAGACCCTTAGTAATTTAGCAAGACCCTGTCTCAAAATAAAAAATAAAAAGGACTGAGGATGTAGCTTAGTGGTAAAACATCTATGGATTCAATCCCCAGTAATAGGAAAAAGGAAAAAAAAAAAAAGGAAATAAACTCAGGGATTGCTATATTTACCTGACTTCCGTTGGTGGTAGGGGGTCAAACTCCACACCTTCGCCAAAGGACAGGGGGCACAGCCTTGGTGAGCAGCTGACAGCCAGGGTGTTGGGGAGAGAGGCTGGGTTCTTCCAGAACAGAAAAGAAGGTCGTTAGAGCTACCACAGGCCAATGGACGCATCCCACGGAAGGCCTTGCCTCTGAGCCTCTAGCTGATGACCCCACTGTGATCTGTGTCCCTCATCCTGGGTACACCAGGGAAGGGTTGACCCACAGCCTAGGAAGAGCACTGGAGCCAGGAGGCTCAAATTCAAATCCCAGGTCGATCCTGGAAGTATTCTGTGCCCTCAGAAGAATCATGCCACACACCCCGTTACCTTATCTGCACCCCTTCTACCACTGCAGTTTTGTGAAAGGCAGAAAAGAGACAGAAGCTCAGCAACAGGATGCTGGCCAGACCCAGGAGCCGTGTGGTGAGGAAGCCTCCATGAACTGGAGCTTAACTCTTCAGAACCCTCAATTATGTGGCACCCCCTCTATCATTGTCTCCGCAACACTCCAGAAAGACTGAAGCAGGGATTCTTTTTAAAACTGAAGACTCCTTCCGACTCCCCCCGCCACCCCCGTCTTTTGCATCAGGGCCATCACATTCACACCACCCAACGGTCTGCTCTGGCTAACTGGGAGCCTCATCTGTTAAAGGGTCACCAACAGTTCTCCACATCACCTCCACCACCCAGAACATTGCACGCCCCAGAGCACAGCCTTCCTGGAGGGTAGGCATCTCCACCTGGTCAAGGCACTGGCACTCTGACTCATCAGGAGACAGTTCCTCCCTAGTCACCCAATTTGCTGGAATGAGGGCTTTTGTGGTCTACGTGCAAAGATAAGCACAGGGCAGAGTTTGACCTCGGCAGCCTTCTGTATTCCCTGGTGTCTTGAGATCTGCCATTTTCTTGGCCTAATTTGAGAGAAGGATCTACACTTGTGCCAGGGTGTGGAGGTGGCAGTCCTGCCCCCAGGTCCTCCATGATAGAAGGAGGTAATCATTTCTCAGGCTGGCCCTGAGACCCTTATTATATTACCAGGACAAAGTGTCAAGTCAAATGGAAATACAAAAGCTTAAGGAGACCAAGATAGAGAGAGGCACTGGGTCCTGAGGGTCTAGCTCCTGGGTATGGGTGGGGCCCAGACTGAGGGAGGGATGTGAGTTTGAAACAAGGTCAGTGGATGGGAAGGGGTGCGTGAGGTGTACACTGGCTGCTGCAGACCTTCTGAAAACAGCCTCCAGATAGTGACAGTGAGCCCTGCTCTGCCCCTAGCTCTCTGCCCCCAATAGTAGGGGCACCTCCCAGGCAGTCCTGGGGAGTGGGGGATGACAAAGCCACCAGGAGGAGTTGGGTGCTCTCCAGCACTCACAGGGCATCCACCCGACCATGCCCTTCTCTTGACTCTGCCTTCTCTGTTTTCAAGCCTGCCCACACCACACATACTGCCTGGGCTCCACCCTGCTCCCTGTGTAGGACGGGGTTAGGGGCAGGGTGGCAGAGGTTATGACAGACCCATGTACTTGGTGCCACTAGAGAATGAAGACTATACCAGAGGCTTTAGCAAGGCTCTGGGAAGCATCCAGGAAGGCTTCCCAGAAAAGGTGACAGTAGAATTTTGAGAGAGGTAAGAGGCCTTGTGCATGCCAGGCGGAGGGTCTCAGAGGCACCACTGTGTGTCTAGCCTGTGGTCAGGCAGGTGGAAGATAGGCTAGAAACAGCCAGATAGGGAACGCTCCCAAGGCTAAGTTGAATGAAGTACTGCCTTGAAATGGAAATGAGGGAATGCACTGAGGCCTCTGAGGGTTCTAGTACAGCACCATCAAAGCTCTAACATGGGACCTTAAGAACAATGCTGCCACTAACTACTTCACCCCAGGGGACAGGGTGGAAAACACCTATCTCCAAGCCCCACTTTGAGCTTCAACTGTAGACAGGATGTGGCCTCCAAGCTGACGGTAAAAGCAACACACTTCCACGTCTGAGCGATTCCTAAGGCAAAATAGACTTGGTGGAGTTTCGTTACTTTTAAAATTAAAAGTTTTAAATTAAAAGGAGTAAAAGTTCCTGCCACCTGAAGGCTCCCCATCTACTAAGTACAAGACACCAGCTGGGTTAGGTGTTCAGGACAACGGGGGGCCACCAAGGAAGCTGGAGGTTCACGGAGTTGAGTCTTCTTAAAAGGTCCCCAAGGCTGGCCCAGATTTCTCTCTGAATGGAGAAGCCCAGGGCACACCCCTGCCCTGGAGCTGCCAAGAGGAGGCAGGTCTTGGGGCCGCCTGAGATGGGCAAAGCCCGCGGGGTGTTGGGCCCACGGTCGGGGAAAGGCTGGATTTCCCTGTCGGTATCCCGGGAGCCCCAACCGCCCCGCCCAAGCAGGAATGTGGCTAAACCGCAGCCTGGCAGCCCCAGGAGCCGCCACCTCGAAGGGAGGAGAGGCGGCTTGCCTCTCCCGGGGCTCCCGCGCCTCCCAGGCGATGACAATTTTCCAGCCACCGGCTCCAGCTGGCCAGGCTCTCGCTGCGCTCCCGCCCCGGGCTCCCAGGGACGGCCACGCCGTCCCGACGAGCGGGTGGTGGCATTGACAGCGCGCCCCGGGCGGGGCGGCACCACCGCTGGTAACCCCCAGGGCCTGTCGCG